AAAAAAAAAAAAAAACATGGATGAGTAAATGTTAGTTCTAAGAAATGCAACCGACCTTTCCCTTACAGCACTGCCGGATAAGACTCCACCATAAGGACGGTTCACAGTCCTTCTGTTCCTTGGTAATCTTGACCTCTTGTACTCAGCAGGTCTCAAGTGAGGTATCTGGCCACAAATAAAAATGTTAACTTGTTGATTACTCTAGAAACTCAACGGGATTAAAAGATCCCAAATTTCAGCATGCAAAAGTAAAAGTGGACGTAATGCAAATTGGATATGGAAAAACGGAATAATGCCCCCAGCCCTTCTTGCTGCACAACATAATCTTACACACAAGTTACTAGTGTCTTATGCTCTTAGAAAAGAGGAAAAGCAAACACAATTGTCTGTGACTCCAGCAAACGGAATGAAATAAACTTAAAAGCGATAAAATGATCAACTTCAATAAAAAAAAATGCCTGCCCTTAAGAGTTAAAATATTCAATAAAACCATCTCCATGTAACCATAGTTATTAAAGACGAATGTTGAGCTGTGGCAAGTTGTTGATGGACTAGCCTTGAGGTGCATGGCGAGGTCATGGCGCCGGCTCGTAAACATACCACCACAGTTGGGGAACAAATAAGAAAATAATGATACAACACACGATTAAGTGTATATTTCAAATTTATCTCCAAATGTCCTAACCACACAACTCCACTAGTCACTGGCATGTAGCACTAACAAAAGGCAACATTGAAACACAAGTGAACAAAAAAAAAAAAGAGCTATATGCCAGCGATGAGCATAAGAACAAACAATTCTATATCCATCAAAATTCTAGTTTAAAACAAGCTGTGGAGGTCGAATAGGAGCTGTTTATTCTATAATTGTCTAAAGTTTCTATTGTTTTATTGGGCACGCTTGCGCCGTGGGAATTTTAGCCGATGCAAGAGGTGCCCTTCTCCGCAACTTTGGAGCCCTGGGATATGGGCGAGGTGCCTATCATTGGCAGTTGGGCAATGGCATGGCCATTTAAAACTATGCATGTAACCTCACCGAGCACTAACAATAGCTGAGCAACTTTGGTGAAACTATTAAGTAGGTTCAACAAAGGCTTATGCAAAGATTTTTAAAGTTAAACAAAGTGAGCCAATCGTGAGCTCGGCTTGGCTCGGCTCACTAAGGCTCGAGTTCGGCTCATAAAATTTGATACACGAGCCAAGCTCGTTTCGGCTCGAGAATAGGGGCTTTTTACGTAGTTTTCTTAATATTTAGCTTAACTCAGTTTGTTAATGCTCAAGATCGGCTTGTTAATGCTCGAGTTTGATTAGTTTATTTCGTCCAATTAGCCAAGCTCGAATTCCATTCTTGGATAGATGAATACTCAAGCCGAAACTGCCTTGTCTACAAGACTACAACTACGGTAGCTACCAAAACCAATGATCCCAAACAAGGCACAAGAATAATAAATTCCTCATAGAATACTTAAAAAAATGGCGACAAACATTAAACCAGCCTCAAGTAAAAGAGCTACTCAAGCTCATTTCCCATCCATCATAAGCAACACAAATTATCATATGAAGCCATAATATTTGAAGACTACAAACCAGACCCACCCGACAATTTTAATCGAAATCACAGAATCAAGTTTAACATGGTTGATTTCACAAAAGAACAACCGTAATATATGAACAAAAAACACAGAAAATACACAAATAATTTTCATCTGGAAAACTCTTACCCCTTGGATTCTCTTCCCAGTAATTGGGCATTTAGGGCCGCTAGCCCTCTTTCTCGTACTCTGATACACTAGCTTCCCTCCTACATTTTAGTACACAGACATAAACACACGAACCGTAGATAAAAATTAAAAAAATAAAAAAAAAAATTGAAAACAATACAAGAACAGAGAATATTTTCAGTTCAAGATCCAAACACATTCCAGCACATGAAAACAGAAGAAAAAAAAAAATGAATTTGATTAAAGGGCAGTTGCCTGGAGTTTTGACAACACGATGCTGATTGGATTTGGTGGCATAGCTATGGCGAGTCCTGTATGTGAGCCGCTGCACCATTTTTTTCCCACCTTTTGTTGGTATTGAGATGAGATTCTCTGTGTGTGTGTGTGTGTGGTGGCCTGACGAGTGAGTGAAGTGATGAGGCGAAAATGAAAAGTTGCGCGATTATAATAAGTATATATGCGACTAATGCAAAGCCCTAGAGTCGACGCTCAGGATATTCCCCCAACTTCCACTATTTTCCCATTTAATGAGAATCAAGAATGATCTTTGAATTTTAGTATGACTAATGCGTGGCTCGTGCGATGCTGAAAAAATAATATTACAATTGTTTGTTAGATAAATATATAAATAACATGAATCGTCATTATGTACCCAGTGTTTGCAAAATTGGGCCAGATAGTCCAACCGGATGGAAAGGGAATCGGGCTATCGACCCATTTAGTTTGCTAGCGAATGGGTCAACACTAGTCAGATGGCTGGTAGGATCGGTCTAATTTTTATATTTATTATGTTATACTTGATATAATTTTTTAAAAAAAAAAATAAAAAAAAAAAACATATTTACCAAAAAATGAAAATTTATACATTATTTATCATGTAAATTAAACATTTAAATCTTTAATGTTTAGATAGTTAATTAATTTTTTTATTTTAGTTTTGTAGCAAAAACTACTATATATATTAAAATATTAATAGATTTAATTATGTACAGTCCAACCAGTTAATCATCAAACAAAGGATACTTAACCTTGGATTTACCGTGCATTATTACAAGTTGTAATCCAAGATTATTTTGTTCACATAAATATTGTAAATAAGTATCTAAATATTGATAAATCATATGGCGGATCAATATTAATCTAGATTAATGCCAAATAAATTTTCTTACAATTGTATCCTTTGATAATTGAGGTCTCATGTAATGTTTTTCATTCTACAAGTATGCAATTATTTTTTTATTTTTTTCTATTTCTCTTTCATTTTTTCTTTTACATAAATTATTGGGAGTAGGGTTGCAGATGAGCCGAGCATTTGCCTTATCGAGCAGGATTGAATTTTTTTTAGCTGCTCCATCTCGTCGAGCTTGATTTTTTAGGCTCGGGCTCGACTCGATAAAAAAATACAATAGCTCGAGCTCGGCTCGAGTTCGGTTAAAAAAATTTCAAGCAACTTTGTAAAATTAGCATTAAGTACATATATTAATATTATGATTCATATATATATTAGGGGTATTTTAGTAATTTATAATACATAGTGAGCCGCTCGTGAGCCGCTCGATAAAGTTAAATATGGGCTCGAACTCGACTCGAGTTCGATCAAACTCGAGCTTGATGCCGAATAAACTTTCTTCAAGAAATCAAGTGGTTCAAAAGCTCATGTTAACATTTACAAGTTGAGCTGAATAAATAATAATTATATACCAACTCCACCCCCACAGAAATCTGTTTAGATGGAATGATGAAAGCAGAACCAAGCATATGAAAAACTTGTAGAGTTTAATTCACCATAACTATTTTCCTGTTCCAAAATTTTCATACAAAAAGAAAGGATCATGGTAAATGCACACAGCACATAAGATGGAATATAATATTTGTACAGAATATCTCATTGCAGAACTAAAGGCATAGAAAATGTGTCATTCAATTTACGTTCTTTGCGAAACCAACAAATAATGAATTCCAATCGACGAAAAAAAAAAAAAATCCCCGGTGGTCACGAACACAATGCAATTCAGTTTTATCTTCACAAGCTTTGTTAAATTTCTCTCTGTTCCTTATTTTCCCCCTTCCCTTTTACTCTGTCAACTCCTGTTGTGGATAGGGTTCGACCCTCTCCGTACTTTCCTCTTGCTAGATTGGTTCGGGTCGAACGTCTTGTGCATGTTCGTCAATTTCTTGCCCACATGAACAACATTCATGATATTGTTGGTCTCGTTTGCCTTGAGCTCTTGCATGCATCGTGTCACCGAACGGTTTGCGCTTTGTCACCGAACGGTTTGCGCTTCTCGAACTCTGAACCAGTTGACATTGTAATGCTAACAATGCAATGCAAATGAATATCACATTGATTGATATTCGGCACGTAAACATGGTTTTGTTGGTTTTTTTTTTTTTTTTTTGTGAGTTTTAGATTGTGTTGTGTGAGTTTGAAAAGGAATGAGAGAATGTATAGTATAGGAGTATAGGTGTCCAAATTCATATAGTAGCTAGCAATTTTGGAGAGGAATGATTTAAAGGGTAAAAAGCAAGGAGGGACCACAAGCCACAAGTCTGTTACATTACTGAAGACATTAGCAATAGGTAACATAGCTCATAGAGTTCAACATAAGTAGATAACAATAACCACTTATACACTAATACAGTATTACCTCATGATTTCGACAAAAGTACATAATAGTAACCACTTGTACAATAATACCACAAGGTTGCTCATAAAACCTAGGAGGATTCCACACCTAAACAGCCTCAAATGAAGTCAACCCGGCATTTGTCAGATCCCCGCTCATACGATGCAATCTTCTGGAGAGCCTCGAATTTGTCCTCTATACAAACAGGGATTTTAAGCATAAAGTCAGGACATGTACACAATGCCACCCTCTCCAGGACTTTAGCATTCCTCAAAACATAACCAACCATCTGTAACTCTTGCTCTGTACGCATAAAACATAGTAATCTGATAGATCTCAGACTTGACAGCAAACATGAAGGCACTGCATGTGGCTCTATCCACCATTTCGAACAATTATCCAACTGAGGATGACACAATAAAGGGGAAAGTCAGAATAAACAAACAGTACAGGGGAAGAAGAACAGGTTATCTGCTGGTAAAAAACAAGTAAAATGAAAGACATACCGTACGGACTGTAAGTTTTTTGAGATTATCAGCATTTTCAAGAAAAAGCGGGATAAAGCGCCAATTAGTTTTCAGTGTGACTTCGGATAAATTAGGAAACTTGACCGTCAGAGCAGAGAATACATTCTCAGAAAGCTGCAAGAGTAATAAGCATTCATTACCATATGTATGAATAAACAGTAATAAAATAATTCAAAAAAAAAAAAAAAAAAAAAAAAAAAAAAAAAAAAAAAAAAAAAAAAATGAACCACTTGCCTCAATCAAATCAGTCGCCAATTGCAAGTGCGTCACATGACAGAGACTGCCCAAAAATGGTAGCACAAATTGCAAAGAAGTTATAACCCGTTGAGGGTGCAAATGGACATCCGCTTCAGTTAAGGATGGCAGTAACTCGGATGAGACATCTTTGGATAAACTATCAAATATTCGGAGGAATCTGAGTGCCGGAGCATCTATCATCAGCATATGCATCTGTCTACGAGATAAATCCCAGAAAGTTGTATTAACGTAAAGCCTAATCAGTGTGGGTGAAGATATGCGACGATAAATACACGGAGGCACGTTTTCTGACACCAAGTTCAACTCCTCAACCACCGGGCAACCGGACAGAAAGCTAGTGAGGCATCCAGACTGATAACTAACATCAAGAATATGAAGCTTCTTAAGAGCAGGCAGACGCACGAAGCCCAACATGGGGATTGGGCCGCATTGAAAGAGCATTAAATCCACAAGGGAGTCGTAGGTGAAGATGCAAAGGGGTAGCCTGACTATATTATGGATACTGAGATAAAGATGCTTTACGTTGCGTACAATGGCAGTTGTAATGCACGTCTCCAGCTGATACTCCCCGCCACAATTTTCGTTGTAAATGAGGCGGAAATTATTCATGTTCTGCACTTTGTATTGAAGCATCACTCTGTAGATGATGTCCGGAAATCTCTTTCCCTCATCTAATTCTAGATCAAAAGTATAGCCGTCGAAATCTATATCAGGGACGTGGGCCCACAAATGCCTCCATCTTCTTGATAAGATGCTGGTCTGTACAGATCTACTGGTTGGGAGAAAGGAGAGAATATGGTGGAGGATGGAATCCGGCAGGCTGCTCAGCCTATCAATTGAGTCCATGCATTGGTTCCCTCTTGTAAACTTAAGGCGCTTTATAATCAATGGCGCTTCTTTCTCCATAATAATACGAGTTTCTAGTTACAGAAAACAACAGACTACGGCTAACAAGGATTAAAAATAAAAGCAGGTGGGAAAACCTTGAAAAACAATTGCGATAAAAAGAGGTTTTACCTGGATATTCTAGCCGATAATATCTTCCCAACCGGCGGAAGGTGTGAGACTCCGGTGGGGGGCGAGTGAGATGGCCGGCGGCGGGTGAATTGGCGGCTAGGGTTTTAGTTTGGAACGGGCAATAGTTGGCGGACTTGGGCAGCGTGAAGCTCCAGCGCGGCTGAAGGTTGAAAATCGGGAGAGGGAGTCGATCGACGGGACTATCGGCGTGGCGGTGGGGATGTATTCAATCTTGGTGGAGGGCAGCTGAAGGGTTGTGTTGTTTGACTGGCCAGTGTATATAAAAGAGACTAGGAATCTCTTGGTTGTGTTATACACAATTGGCCAATAATATCAAAGTAATTTATGTTTGAAGGTAATACTCTCAAATTTTGAACAAAGAGGTCCAAGATTGCATTAAAAAAAAAAAAAAATTGAAAAAGAACTTATGCTCATAAAACAATTAATACATTTCTCTATATGTTAATTCAAAACGTGTTGAGCCTAAGTGACAGGCTCGCATGCTTCGAGATCCTATGTGGCAAAATTACATGCTTAGTTATTAGGCTTGAGTAGATTTTCATTTACTTCAAATCCAAAAATAATTAGGCTAAATTTACTCATCTTCAGCTAGTTTGTGGTGAGGCAGCTCCCACGCTCTATTCTAAAGAGAAGTTGACTTGGATTCGATTACCGAGAAAAGGAATACCTTGCTTGCGCGCCCGTGGGCATCTTGCAAGGATGGTGGGCGCCCCCATAAGTAAGGGAGCCCTATGACTCCACTCCATGTAAAAAAAGGAGCGCTCCCGCGCGATACTACGCAAACTTTCTATGACTGAACTTCTAAAGATGCAATCGACCTTTCCTCATATTTGTCCAAGTAAAAACCGGACCCTGGATGTTCGGATGTTAAACAGCTTTTCTGGAATCCCGCATTGCGCTATTGCTGTCCTTTCCTTTCCTATAAGGAAGTCTATCTCAGGATATAGCACAGGAAAGATGAGAATAGAGAGTTTCATCTTTCATATTGTTTACCGTTATAAGACTGTGCTTACGCATTAATGCGAAAGGTACAAACTTTTCGAAGTGAAGTAAAGTCATAGAAAGAAGCATTGAGCTAACTGATAGAGGTCTTGACAGAGCCTAGCTACACCCTGCCCCTGAATCCTGTTCGTCAGTTATCCATTGGGCAAATCCCCAAGGCCGAGGTTGATCAAGAACTGATGGAGCGGGATTTGATGATATAGAAACTCAAAAGCAACCTGGATGGATCTATAAATCGCATGAAAAAATAGTATGACAAGGGGTGACGAGAGGAGCGATTTGTTCCGAGTGATTGAGTTTACTTGAAATTACGATCGTATTGCCCGCAGACAACTTCGCAAAAGGCCTTGTATAAGCTTGGTAGCCTTTTTTATGGGCCTTATCTAGTCAAGTAAAGGGTGGGTGAAGTGGCGTACAAGCTCGAAATACCTGCGGACTCTCAAATCCACCCAGTCATCCATGTCTCACAGTTGAAGAAAAGCTTGGGTGATCACCACTGGACCTAGACAACATTATTCGGGGTCCAAAGGGCGCTCTTATTATGAACCAATACGGGCAATTGATTATCGAAGAGTGAAACAACCATGACGTTTTCATTTGGAGTATCTAATTGAGTGGGAGGATTTACCAGAGGACGAAGCTACTTCGGAGAACCTACGAGACATCCACGGTCAATTTTCGAATACTATCCTTGAGGACAAGGATATACTTGAAGGGGACGGGAATGATGTGAACAAGGGGAGACTCCTCAAGAATGCTTATAACTGAGCTCAACCTGCTCGTATCAAGGAGGCGACAGAGACGCAAGGGCAGTCAAGCACGGCACAAAGTTGGGTGACCGAACAACAGCCACATGCGCGTGCAACAATCGCACAACCTCAAATGGGCACGCAGCAGGCTTGCGCGCTTGCGGAGGAAATCGGCGGGAATGCATATGAAATTCTGGACATCAACGCAGATGAAAGAGCCAATATTAATATTTGTTAACTACGCTTATGTTACTTAATTATTCCTTAGTGCCTGGTTGCAGGTTGCAATTTCTGGTATTTTTCTTGTTTAAAACTTTGTATTCATCGTTAGGACGATCAATCACCAAGAAATCTCAAAAACCACTTGCGTTCGGGCACAAATCCATCGTACATAACCGACGACCATTACCGCAGGTTATCACAATTCCAATTCACGATATGCAATCTTCATCATTGTCGTGGAACATGCTACAAAGTACGATTTTAATTATCTCAATATCCGTTTATCATAGTATCCAAACAAAATCAAAACATCCAACCAAATAATGTAATGACTTAATCTTGATACAAAGTCAAGAAACAACCAAACTCACCCGAAGCGAAAAAGACTAATCATACAGTCGTTTCCATTTCAAGAAGACCAAAATAGTGAAACAGTATTGTTCTTTGTTTTTCAAAAGACAAAAGAAATGAAGTTAGGAGAGAAGAGCAAGCATATGAGATCAGAGAAGGTGCAAAATGTTATAAATCGTTCAACTTATTTTGTAATCAAGCAAACAGTAAATCAAATGGATATACAGTACATACACTTTTCATTAATACATTGTTCATTCTTCCCCTGTTGAAGGTTATGCACAACCTCACAGGTCCTCCCAACCACAGCACCAAAAACCCGAAGATCCTCCAAATTAATAATATACACAACGAAATCTCATGATGGAAAATAAAATTTAAATACACCAATTAAAAGAAAAAAGCCGCATCTTGTTATCAAACGTGCTCGGCTGCCTGCAGAGGTGCCGCAGCCACCTGTGGAGTGGTGGCAGCCAGAGGTGGGGTTGTCGAGGCGACGAGTAGGCCCCTGCTTTGACCCGATTGGACGACAATTGCAAATTGTCTTGCGGCTAATGCTGCAGCTTCCTGTTTTTCAGGCAAATTTATATTTTTCTAAGTTTTATCAGGCAAAAACTACTTTTAAGAGCGTGTACTGTAACAGATACTCACTTAGAAAGACAACTCAATAAGAACTCATACATGCAACAAGTAACCGACTAAGCAAGTTGCGAAATTATAATAATACCTGTCTTTGCCTCCTGCGTTGCAAGATACTGATCGCCCAGATCATAATGTAGCAAGGCAAAAGAAATCCAATTGCACGAAGCAAGAACAGCTGTCCCATTTATTATTTAGTCAGCAAAGCTCGCAATAAAATTCAAAAAAAAAAAAAAAAAATGGTCACACATATCGACTTACAGACAGGAATGCCGATGCATCACCATCGTCCTCTCCATCTCCACCTCCATCATCAGTGATCGACAGCGCATGCCTCAGCAGTAAAAGAGCCATTAACTACAAAATAAGAGACCGCATATATTTTTTATAAGCATTTTAATGCAGTGTTTATAATAGAAATATATTTTACAGCATTTAGTGTTCTTACAATTAGGGCAGCCGAGCGGCAAAAGGCGGCACCACTATTATTGGTGCTGTTGTAATCATCATAGTCTGCTTCAAACAACTGACGTTCGGCCTCGGCTATTGCCAGCAGACGAGGATCGTTCATGTCCAGTGGTGTCCCCGAAATTTGCCACACTCCCCTTGAAAAAACAGATAATTACAAAACAAATCAGAACTAAACCTACAATGATGGCCACAGATATTTACAGTGGAGAAAGAAATGAGCAAAAGAAAAGGTTTTAACATCAAAACTAGGAATAATTACATACGTACCCAAGGGTTTGAGGTAATTATAAAATATAAACAGTTCTAAAACAACCCAAAAAGAAAAAAAGAAAGAAACACGAAAAAAACCAATAATTGTATGATACATTTTTGTGAAACCCCTAGTTCTGAAGCATCATTCTGAGTATAAAAAGACATAATTGTGATACCAAAAAAAAAAATAAACTGTTTACCCAATATCAATTGTAGTCTCATCAGTAGGAGGACGTGGAATAGCTGTGTAACCAGGCTGATATTGCTGCATAACAAAGTACAAGATTAGCACCACTGAAGTAAAAGATGTTTTTAGTCTTTATGAGTGTTATTTCAAACAAAATCACTATGAGTATATAATGATATTTTCCCAGAGCGCGTATGTTAATAGTATTGATTGATTCACATGCACATGCATCCAATAGCATAAACCACAACCAAAGGCATTAGTTTTTGTATTGCTCAATCTTTGTCTGTTATTTTTTTCTATTTGTCATAGACAAGCACCGTTGTACACAAACCTAAGCTGAACAGTGATGTTTTAAGGTTTCCTTAATATGCATTCATATAAGCAAACTCTTCCAGATGTTAAAAAACACTTACGACAAATTATACTGGATAACCTCAAGTTGCTGTAAGATCTTATTAATCTGAAAAGCCACCACTTACAATTAACAGATTTAACTAAGAACATTACCGGCACAACCCAGATTGAATTATGCTACTTACAAACAAAAAAACACTCCCAACAATAAATGATCTACTTAATTCGTAACTGAATACCCCAACTGCCTTTGATGAGAGGAAAATATAACAATGATATAGGAATGTCTGAAACCATCATCATATATGCACTGAACTTGACAAATGGGAACAAAATTATCTAACTTTGATCCATTTCTTGAAAATAAATACCGAAGGGATAAAGCTAAAGAGCACTAAGTCAGATACCTGATGGCAGATCTCACAGGTTATGTCTCCCTTCTCATTGCACCAGTGCTGTACACATTTTCTGTGGGCATACTGAAAAGTAATATGTCTCAGTAAAATAGAAAACCAGGCAATTTGTACAAATGATTGTCGTGAACAAAACAGGGGGGTGGGGGCCAAGAAGAAAGACAAAGGTTAGCCAAATATTGAACAGATCATATGTCTAACCCTAATATTCCTGTGCACTCGAGCGGAATTTACATTGAATACAGGTGGCAACATAAAAACTATTAAAGGCTTTATCACACATAACACGACGACTCGTTAAAAGAGAATTCCATCATGTAAAGGGAAAACAGTAGTTTTATTGATTTTGCAGTGAGTATTCATATAGGGCACCCAATTGTCGATGATATAAAGGTTCCCTAGGCATTTGTTCAGCATAACCTTGTGGCATGAATTCTACAACAAGTCATGAAAAGATAAGCTCTTTAAATCAAAGACTAACAGAGCTTAAAAGATCCAATCAAACGCTTTCCACCAATACTTCAAGCTATATATATTTATATACCAACTGCAAAAGATTTTAACATCTTCCTGAACAGATACCTCCTTGCATAGTGATTCCATTTTCCGCATAAAACATAAATAACAAAACAAATCAAGATGTTCAGGCATCTCCCATTTATCATCTTAAAGATTCCTCACCAGCAAAACCCTTTTCTTAAAAACACCAAACACAAAGCTACTACAAAACAAATAACACGAATAAACATCAACAAATATAGACAGACATAAAAAAATTCCTCAATACAAGCATTTTTAGTTTTACCTTAAGACTTCCACTGCAAGCACAAGGACTCTCCAAGTTGTTGAAAGAATCCTCTTCTTGGCAAATACGGCACTCGCCCAACCCTATTAGAGGTGCTTGCTCATCCTCCTCTTCATGCTCCACCACCATCACCACTTTATCATTATCTGCCGCCATCGACGAAGAGGACCCGACCATCTCAGGCTTCTTTCCAGTTGGGTCAACCACCTCAGGTTTCCGCAGTTGACTCACATTCACAACAGTATGCTCGCCCATTTCCACACTAATTTAAACCAATAAACCACCTAAGAGAACAAAAACAAGCTATAGAAATGCCAAGCAAAACACGAGCATAAATCTCACGAAACTTGTGATCAAATAAATAGCCCCCCTTTCCCCTTATTTACACAAATAGCAGAAAGCTATGATCTTTTAACCTAAAAATTACAACCCAGCAGGTCTTCACTTCTTCGTTATTTACAAAGCTAGGATCTTTTTCGCCTCAACATTCGCAATTACCACATGTTATAATGAATGTTTTGAGAACGGAAACTAAAAACCCATTTCAACAGATAAAGAACCCTGAATTCCCTAACACGTGAACCCAAAAAATATTACCTTTAAGGAAAAACTCGAACTGCAAAACCCTAACAAAAAAAAAAAAAAAAAAAATCAATGGTATCGCATAAAAGTATTAAATTTTGAAAAATTCAACTGGTCTCGCTGGTATATGCAGCGGGGATCAGAGAATATCATCGTTAGATAACTGAGACCAAGAATGTCAATATCTGATTCGAACAGAAATTAAACGAAGATAAAAACACAAGGAAAAGAAACACAATTAATGTGAAAGGATGATGAACAAAAAAATGGAAGAATAATTACCTGAAGAATAAACTGATAAAGAAAAGGAGAAGAAGGAATAGCGAATTTGTAGCGCAGCCAAGAAAATCTCTAAAATTTGTAATTTGATTTTTCAGCTGGGTTCTGTGTGTACGCGTTTGGTTTGGCTTTTGATTCTTTTTCTTCTATTGGGTTAATATCGACTTTTAACATTTTACGAAAACAAATATTCTATGCAATTACATTGTAGTCAAATCAAAATTTAAAATAAAAAATTTAAAATAACACTTATTTTTAAATGAATATAGTTTAATTTATTATCATATATGTGGACCGTACGAGTTGTATACTAATTTGAAAGACATGTTTTTTTTTAAATTTTGCACAATTTAAAATGTTCATTTTCAATAAAATAACATAGGTAAATTATATTATATGTAGATTCTATATTTTTTATATAACATTTTCAATAAATTAACACAGGTAAATTTAAAATGTTATATAACATTTTGCAATGAGTATTCAAATTCAGTTGTTTGGTATAACCGAATTTGATCATCAAAATCGTAGCATGATCGACATATTGAGGTCCTGAACATATTATGATTTTTGCTTATGTATAACTGAGTTATTGAAGGCATGAAAACTCAATAAAATTATTTTTCATATTATATAATGATTTTCCGTAAAAATTGCATGTTTCAAAACTTAAGTGTTTATTAATAATGAAAAATTGTACCAAAGAGATTATTATATTAAAACTTTTAAATAGGCTTGATGTAATTGACATGATAGTAGTAATGGGAGGGACTTCATCAAAGGTAGATGGGGACAGGTTTAGTTCAGCTCGCAGTGGATCGGAAGAACAAGAATTTCAATTTTCTCGCTTCGATGCCACTCGGGTGAAATATCGAAAAAAAATGTTTTTTTGTGTTTTATCTGCCGGTCGTTTTCAATTTGGTCCCGTAAATTGATTGTTTTTGGAAATAGTCCCTTAACTGAAAAAAAAAATTAGCTTTTTTAGTCCTCTAACCGCCTGTATCAAATCATTGTGGCGCTTATGTGGAATAGTTGCAAAAAATGTGCTAAGAAGGGAATTCGAACCTAGGTCCAATGGGGTATAAAAGGAGCTCATGAACCACTTGAGCTAGCACCTATTATGTTAATTATTTAGTTTCAATTATATATCTACCAACATAGTTTTTTTATCTAATATATATATATATATATATATATATATATATATTTGTACTACTTTTAGATTTTAATAAACTTTTTTATATATTAAATATAATTTTAATAAATAAAAAATATTATATATTATAATAAATAATATATTATAATTTTATTCATCATTTTTAAATATATATATTATATATATATATATTAAATAAATATATTGAAGGATGTTGATATTAGATAACTATATATTAGTTAAATATTTAATAAATAAACAGTATTTAACTATTCACTAAATAAATATTTAGCGTACTTAATTAAATTTTATTTGAATATTAAATAAATATTTACCAAATAAATAAATATATTAAATAATATAATAAATAAATACTCATTTACTAAATAAATACATAAATTAAATAATATAATATTTATTAAATAAATATAATAAATAATATGATTAAATTTTATATCTATATTAAAAATATTTACTAAATAATAAAATTTATGAAATAATATATTAAATAATATAATAATTTGCTTTGTGTATTAAATAAATATTGATCAAATAAATAAATATATTAAACAATATAAGAAATAAAAAAAATTACTAAATAAATACATCTATCAAATAACATAATAAATAAATGTATTAAATAATATAATAAATAAATACACTAAATAATATATTAGTAATAATATTTACCAAAAAATTAATAATATAATGAATAAATAAATATATAGTAAAATACATATATTAAATAAACTAATAAATAATATAATATATTAATTGTGAACTAAAAATAATTAAAATTGATACATAAAAAATATTTTATATGATTTTATTTATACGCTTTATTTAATTATAGATTTATTGTAATTTTTATTATTTACTATATTTAGTATTTATTTATTATTTATTATTTTAATATATAAATATTATTATAATATGTAATATTTTTAAAAGTACATATTATTATATTATTTAATATATTTAATTATTTATTATAAATTTAATAATTTATTTATAATATTTACTCGTAAGTAAATATTTATTTAATATATTAATAAAATTATATGAATTTAATAATATATGCATAATTTTTTATTATTAAAAGTAGTACAAATATAATATAATATATATATATATATATATTAGATAAAAACTATGTTGGTAGATATATAATTGAAGCTAAATACTTAACATAATGGGTGCTAGCACAAGTGGTTCATGAGCTCCTTTTATGCCCCACTAGTACGAATCTCGTGCGATGCACGAGTAAAATATACTCATTAATATTTATTAATTAACCTTATTAAATCATATTTATAAACAAAAAATATGATATCAACATGTCATGCAATTTATATATATTAATTTATTGAAAATATTATATAAAATTTCAATTGTATAAAATTGCATGAAATGTTAATTTAAAATAAGCACTCGTATGGTGCACGATGATAAATTGCATTATATTCGTTTCAAAGTAAGTGTTATTTCACGATTTTTACTCAGAAATTCGATTTGACTATAATGTGATTCTAGTTATTTAGGTAAAATTTTATCATAAATTAAAAATCTTATGTGAATAATAAGTATAAATATAAAATTACATGAAAATGTCTATTTAAAATAACCACCCGTGTGGTGCACGATGATATATAACATTATATTCGTTTCAAAGTAAATGTTATTTCATGATTTTATTCAGAAATTCGAATTGACTATAATGTGATTCTATAAAATAGTTATTTCGGAAAAATTTTATCATAAATTTAAATACTTACGTGAATAATAAATATAAATATAAAACTTATATTGTTTCATTAATTAAAATAGATTTATTTTTGTATAAACTATCTAAATAAAAAAATTCAAATAGTTAAGTAACTTATTAAACTATTGATTATTACATTTTATGACCAAATTAATATTGACCCGTAAGTTATGAATAATTGTTTGTTTGATTTTTAATTTAAAATAAAATCTTCTTTTTTGTCAATATATTATATACCAAATTTAAATAATGCAATTAATAAAGGTAATAAGTGCAAATTTTTATTAATATATTATACACCAAATTTAAATAATTCAATTAATAAAGGTACACTACAAAAAAAAAAAACTCTTACATTCCAACGGAAATTTTCCGTTGGAATAGCTATTAAAGAATTCCGGAGTCGTGAATGGCTCGTGGAAGTTAGGCATGTTTACCGAGAATCAAACTTTTCGGCGAATTATTTGGCTGCACTAACATCGTCTAGTCCTGGAGGTTTACAAGTTCTCGCCAGCTGGATTGAAGCCTTGGCTAGAGCACGATTTGGTTGGAATAGTTTACCCACGTGTGTATATATATATATAT